CACTTTTAGATCGAGACCCACCATTCTAGCTGCCAGACCAACTCTTCTCCAAATTTGTAGACCCACCACCTGGTTGTCAGACCCACTCTTCAAGGGTGCAGACCCACCACTCTGGTTGTCGGGACCCACTCTTCAAGGGTGTACGTCGTACACCCACCATTCTGGTTGCCGGACCCTTCTAGATTGCAGACCCACCATTCCAGCTGCCAGACCCACTCTTCTCAAGTCCAGACCCACCACTCGGGTTGTCAGACCCACTCTTCAAGGGTTTCTTTACACCCACCATTCTGGTGCCAGCCCAAAACTTCTAGAAAGCGGGACCCACCATTCCAGCTGCCAAACCCACTCTTCTCAAGTCAGACCACCACTCTGGTAGTCAGACCCACTCTTAAAGGGTGCCACTCACCATTTGCGGCCAGACCACGCGTCTCAAGTGCAGACCCACCATCTGGTTCCCGGGAAACCCACTTTCTAGAGTGAAGATCATTATTCTCGAATGCAGATCCAAAATTCTGTTGCCAGCCCCACTTATAGATTGCAGACCACCATTCCAGCCGCCAGCCCCAAACTCTTCTCAAGGCAGCCCCCATTTCTGGTTGTCAGACCCACTCTTCTAGAGTGAAGATCATTATTCTCAAATGCGTTCCACAATTCTGGATGTAGACCGGCAACCAGAATGGTGGGTGTACGTCGTACCCCCCCTTTTCGGGTTTTGCCGGACCCACTTCTAGTTGAGACCCACCATTCCAGCTCCCGACCCACTCTTCTAAAGTCCAGACCACCACTGGGGGTTGTCAGCCCCACCTCTTCAAGGGTTTTCGTACACCCACCATTCTGGTTGCCAGCCCAACTTCTAGAATGCAGACCCACCATTCCAGCTGCCAAACCCACTCTTCTCAAGTCCAGACCCACCACTCTGGTTGTCAGACCCACTCTTAAAGGGTGCAGACCCCACCATTTAGCGGCCAGAACCCACGCTTCTCAAGTGCAGACCCACCACTCTGGTTGGCCGGACCCACTCTTCTAGAGTGAAGGACTCATTATTCTCAAATTTGCAGATCCAAAATTCTTTTGCCAGACCCCTTATAGATTGCAGACCACCTTTCCAGCCGCCAGACCCACTCTTCTCAAGTGCAGACCCACTATTTGGTTGTCAGGAACCCACTCTTCTAGAGTGAAGATCATTATTCTCGAATGCAGATCCCAATTCTGGTTGCTAGACCAAACTTCTAGATTGCGGACCACCTTTCCAGCCACAAGAACCACTCTTCTCAAGTGCAGACCCACCATTCTGGTTGTCAGACCCACTCTTCAAGGGTGTTGACCCACAATTTGGTTAACAGACCCACTTCTAGATTGCATACCCGCCATTCTAGCTGTCAGACCCACTATTCTAAAAGTGCACCCCCACCACTCTGGTTGTCAGACCCTCTTTAAGGGTACAGACCCTCCATTCTGGTTGCCAGACCCACTTCTAGATTGTAGACCCACATTCTGGTTGCCAGACCCACTTCTAGATTGCAGACCCCACCATTCTAGCGGCCAGACCCACTCTTCTCAAGTGCAGACCCACCACTCTAGGGCAACAGGGGTGAATAATATCAACAAATAAAGATTGTTTAATTTTTGCAAAAAATTTCTCGTCATGTGACAACCCTTCCCAACCCCCCTCAACCCCCTACCCCTCCCCCCTAAAAAACTCATCGGATTTTTGCTTCCCGCGAACATGATTTTTTCTGAAAATTTTTGTCAAGCCAATCTGTAAATCTATCAAATATGTAAAAAAAAAAAACCTTACATTACACACAGGTGAGCGTATGGATTTCGGACAGAGTCTTTTTTTTTCTGGTAACATATTGAGCCGGACAAGAGTCGCTGTTGGACAGATGTCCTTTTAACTGCATCATGCATATCACCGCACAGGCTGCGCTACGGTTGTCCGGGTCCGTTAACTTTCGATTCAAATAATTGACAACGGCATCGTTAATTGGAATTAATTACGGTCGATGGAAATCTAGCGTCCGCTAACCGGCCGCAATTCTTGTTCTTGATACAAAACTAGGTAAAAGGGAAACTTTCATACTGGCACTGAAAAGTGCGGCACTTTATAAAAAATATAAATTACTCCATACTCTGTTGAGCACTGAGGATGCAAAATTTGCTCATAAATAAACAGGAAACTAGTGCAAATAGAGTAGTGTAATTTTGACACAATAGCCCATTTGTAAAACTGATAACGGGGGATTTAAAACAGATACAACCAGCGACGATGCTCCATTAGCTAGATTACTTAATGTCAATAAAAGCACCAAAGTCCAAATCATAATATCTCACCATCTTATCAAGAACTGAACAACATTCTTGCAGACTGCCAATATAGTTTCTCACCATAGTGGATTCTAGAATATTTCTTGTAGGATCACTCATTTTCTTGCAGCATAGAGCTCTGTGAACATTTGAATCATTTCTCCCCAGAGTGAGTTCTCATGTGTCTAGTAAGATGCATAGCTTGTCTTGCAGCAAATGAACACTCAGAACATTTGAAGCGTTTCTCACCTGAGTGAGTTCTCATATGTCTAGTTAGATGACCTGCATGTTTTGTAGCATATGAACACTCAGAACATTTGAAGGGTTTCTCACCTGAGTTGAGTTCTCATATGTTCAGTAAGAGCACCTGCTCGTTTTGTAGCATATGAACACTCAGAACACTTGAAGGGTTTCTCACCTGAGTGAGTTCTCATATGTAACCGTAAGATTACATGCTTGTGTTGAAGCATATGAACACTCAGAACACTTGAAGGTTTCTCGCCTGAGTGAGTTCTCTATGTACAGTAAGAGCACCTGAGTCTCTTGTCGCATATGGACACTCAGAACACTTGAAGGGTTTCTCACTGAGTGAGTTCTCATATGTCTAGTAAGATGACTTGCATATTTTGCAGCATATGAACACTTAGAACATTTGAAGGGTTTCTCACCTGAGTGAGTTCTCATATGAACAGTAAGATGACTTGCTTGTTTTGTAGCATATGAACACTCTGAACATTTGAAGGGTTTATCACCTGAGTGAGTCTCATATGTTCAGTAAGATGACTTGCATGTTTTGCAGCAAATGAACACTCTGAACACTTGAAGGGTTTCTCGACTGAGTGAATCTTTTGATGGTTCTTTAAGTATTCTCCAATATGCTGCACTGAATGTACACTGTGAACACCCAAATGGTCTCACAGGCGGGCTCTCACTAGGTGACAGAACTAATGTCCTCTGAGGATCTGTTCCAGTCAAGTTATCTGAAGTATCAAAGTAGTCAGGTACTTCTGGGCTGCTATGATCATGGTGCTGCTTTACATGTTCTATTAACTGAGTGTCTGAGTAAACATGTTCAGCACAAACTGGACAGATAAAAATAGATGGTTTATCTGATTCAGATGTAAGTTCTTGTTTTATTGTACAATTTGATATTGTTTTATGTTCTTTGATGTGCTCAACAAAGTAGTCCTTCTGAAAAGTAATGTGCTCCACACATTGGGCAGAGGAAACCGTTTTGACTTTTCTGGGATCTCCACTCGTTCTGATTTGATCTCTTGTTTACAGTCTTTAGACATTCTGAGGTATTGGAATATAAGAGATATATAAAGTACATTTATTTAAATTCGATCATGAAGGAATGTGTTATTATTAATAACTTGCCTTATCCAATAAAAATCACAAATATTTGCCCAATTAAAACCGGCCGACAGCACCCCTGCAGATTTCGTCGATTTCAGGTGCCGACAGGACCATAAAAAATTAAAGCAAACACAAATTTTTTCCCCTAAAATCGAGCGCTTTCTGCGCAAAAAAGTGACCTCCACAGAAAAATTTTAACATGGCTTCAAATCCAAATTTGAACCGGAGATTTTTCACTTCCTCTCGATAAACTCAATTTTCAACCCAAAATAAAGTCTCAAAGGGGGAAATTACTCAGGTCAGGATTGTAGGCAATGATTATGCCAAACCATACATTTTTGTAAATTCATTAAACTTTCAATTTAGCCTAAAAGACCCTATTTCGCAAAATTTTTCCGGGGGCTGCGCCCACCTAGCCCCCGCCATTGGGGTCCGCCCCTTTGCTCGCCGACAGCCCCCCCCCCCCCCCCCCCCAAAGAAAAATCCTGGCTAAGCTACGTGCCTGAGCAAAATATAGGTTTAGGGCTTTTCAGATGATTTGGCTCCTCAACAGATACCGACGTACATAACGGTCAATATGTAGTTTAGGTTTACCTGGCCCGTAGGCTACGAATGTGCCCGAGGAGAAAAAAAGCAAACTTAAGAGGTTTCTCGGGAACATAAAAGTTCACCTCAAAACGAAATCTGCACCTATGCGGACAGTATCTCAAAATTTATAATCTTGAAACTTATTTCATTAACTACGGTCTCTAATTTTAGAAAAGATGACTCTAGCTCAAAAGGTTAATTATATTCGAAAGGACCGACCAAGCTAAAATAATAGTTAAATATAGTAACAGAAATACTGATATCTGGATATTATCCGGTTGGAAGAGACAAGGACAAGTGAAACAAGGAAGTTAGGAGTAAGGGCAAATTTTCGGCGTCAACACCATCTTCAGGCTCAAATTATTTGTTATATAGTAGTGTTGAAAGTATTAATACTTTCAACACTACTATATAACAAATAATTTGAGCCTGAAGAGTGAAGATGGCGTTGACGCCGAAAATTTGTCCTTACTCCTAACTTCCTTGTTTCACTTGTCCTTGTCTCTTCCAACCGGATAATATCCAGATATCAGTATTTCAATCATGAGACTAATAAACAGCGAACTACTCCGTTATTTGATAGTAACAGAAAATTAAAACTTACTAATATTCACACCACGTTATATTACCAAAGCACATAAATTATTAACAATGTAAATCACATTAAATGTTAACTTTATAAAACAAAACTGTTTGTAATATAATATCATACGTACTGAATAATATCAATAATAACTATTCCCGAATTCACGAATTCAAAAAAATACTCCACACACGATCAACGATGGAAGTAATATTTCACAGAAAGTGCTAAAAGTTGTTAAGATCTAAACAGTATCTCCAAGTAGGATAATATCAGATATAATGGGAAGATGATCAGAGGGAAATATAGGACTAGGACATCCCTCACTTTTCTCCAGATCAGAAAGATTTGGAGATAGAGTCACGTGACCAACCTGAAAAATTAGAAAAAGGTGTTTTTAAAGTATAAATCACACAAATCGAAAATCACGATCTCTAAGATATGCGACAAGATTAACGCCATCTTAGGACACGAGGAGAGTGATGACTCCTCGGACTAATATAAATATATTCCTTCTGTAACGTTAATATAAATATATTTAATTGTAGTTGTGAAAATAGTTTTGATATAAAATCCAAACATTAGCTTCTGTCTTTTTAAGACGAGAACTAGATAATATTGATGGTAAAGTGAGAATTTATTTGTAATCATAATGATCAAAACAAAGATTATAGCTTCTCCAACTAACCGTTGAATTTTCGTCACACACGATATAATCTATAACGTCTTTAAAGTCAGCAGTATAGTTTGTGTAGTTTGGTTCACCCCGGGCCAGAGTAAGTTTTAAAGGATTCCAAACATTTTTATGCAAGAAGTTTTGCAATTCGTCCCCATTCTCGACCTGAATATATTATGTTGTGTTGTGAAACTTTGTACCTTTCTAACGTATGGAAATCAAAATAACTGAAAATTGTTCTGATGAAGTAAGCCACTTGAACTATAAGAAAACAGCCTAACTTGTATTGCAGTACAACACAATAGATAAAATACAAATTTAGTAGCTGAGAATAAGAATTGTTCAGATACCTGCGAGACCACTCCATCAGTGAGATAAGCATGAACTAAACTGGTTGTCTGAGAGTTCATATCACCACAAATAACCACACTGACACCCTCCCCCTGCTTCTGATAAACCTCCGTAACAGCCTGGATCTTGCTATACAGGGCGTGTATGTGGAACAGTGCTATTATGTGGTATTTAGGATTCCAGTACAGATGTGTGTTGCCAACTATTACTAGTTTCTTGGATTCTTTGTCTTTTAAAACGACTATCTGTGACATGATCGATCTGATTGATATGTCTCTCCAGGTTTCTGGAAATTTGCTGTTCATTTGGTTACCAGGAGTTTCAAGTGTTATCTAATTTATCCAAATATTAACAAGAATTTCCAGTTTTATACAACTAACCCATCAATATATCAACATTTTCCTTCTATTTTAACCACATATATACATCTGTGTCGGGCAGAATTCTACACAGCTTAGTCTGGTTACTCGTGAAGCAATCAATCTAGACAGGTTGTGTGCATTTTATAATATTACTTACCTTACTCGGGATTATTATAACCGGGATAAAGTGGTGGGTTTTGGAAGATTCCGCCATATTTTTCCCGGTCAAAAATTTTACCAGTCATAAAAAAACCTGCCGACTCAGATTATGGGGTTCCAAGGGGGTGGTGATCATCATATTTTACCTGAAGTCTCATATGTGCTAGAGAAGACTTTTGAAGCAGTGGATGGAGGGCTGTAACTTTATTGGCGGTTGCTACCATAATTTCGTTATAAAAATCACAATTTGGTTATAGAAATCAGATTTCAGGGTGGACCGTGATTCTCACTTTTCTTGCCCATGAAGTGAGTAAACTGTGCCACTATTTCATGGTCTACGGTGGATTGATTACTGGAGCACTTGAAGATGCAAAGCCAAGATGTTCCCCAATACCAAGCGGTGGGCAGGAAATTAAGCTCCGGCTGACCTTCAGAGCAGTAGCCCCATTAGCGGACAAAATGAAAGTCTTGTTAAGACAACAATACAACTTCGAATTCGACGGTCAGCAGCAGGGGGATATCAATAATGATAATGGAGGGGACATTAGCGATAATGAGAATGAGAATACGCTTTAAGGGGGGGGGGGGTTCACCCTGATTTTTTTGTGAAACTTAGTTTCGACCAACAAACTAGAACCGGTGACCGAACTTTTGAGGGGGGTCCCGGACCCCAACCGCCAAACGGTGCCTGCGGGGCAGCCACGCCCATATTTGATCCAAATTAGGCCCAATTTAGCCAAATACCCTGAACATGCCCAAAACCCAGATTTTAGGTGCTCTACTTGTAGCTAGTGGTCCCCTGAACTCGTATATGAATTTTCATCAAGATTGGACAAAAAATTACTGAGTTATGAGCCAAAAACCATATGACCATATTTGGGCATAAGCACCAAATTTGATCGATTTTGGCCCATAAATTGGTCAAATATCAATATTTTTGAATGAAACCAACTTTATATGGAAGATAAGCCTATACTACAGATTCTCTTAGTTAGGTAGATATTGAGCTGATAATCACCGTTTGGCGGTTGGGGTCCGGGACCCCCTCAAAAGTTCGGTCACCGGTCCTAGTTTGTTGGTCAACTGCTATCTCGAAACCAAGTTTCACAAAAAATTCAGGGTGAACCCCCAGCCTTAATGAAGAGTTGACTTATTATTGCTATAGATTTATTTTCCTTTAAATACTAGACGTGTCTATTTTCTATTTCTGAGTAATATCAGTAACTGTAAATTGAAATAACTTCTTTAAGAAGTAACAAAAACAGAAATTTCGGTTGAAAATTTGTTGACCTCTGAAAAAAAACTTGAAAGGTCGGCCACCGGTAAATACATGACCGGGATAATTTGGCGGGTTTTGGGAAATTCCGCCATATTTTTCCCGGTTATTAATTTTCCCAGTCATAAATTAACCCGCTATAATATTCCCGAGTAAGGTACTTTAAATTACGATGTAAAATGTATAATCAACAATCAATGCATATTATCGATTAAACATCTGTTTGAACTTACCAAGGTCGATCATGTCAAACATTTGAGAGTTTTCTTAAAACAAATCTGGTAGAGGGAAACTTCCATACTGGCACTGAAAAGTGAGGCACTTTATAACAATATCAATAGCTCATACTCTGTTGAGGACTGAGGATGCAAAATTTGCTCATAAATAAACAAAAAACTAGTGCAAATAGAGTAGTGTAATTTTAACACCATAGCTATTTGTAAAACTGATTACGGGGGGATTTTAAACATATACAACCACGATGATGCTCCATTACCTAATGTCAATAAAGGCAACAAATTCCAAATCATAATGTCTCACCATATTATCAAGAACTGAACAACATCTTGCAGGACTGCCAATTTAGTTTCTCACCATAGTGGATTCTAATATTTCTTGTAGGATCACTCATTTTTCTTGCAGCATTAGAGCTATGTGAACATTTGCATCATTTCTCCCCAGAGTGAGTTCTCATGTGTTTAGTAAGATGCATTGCTTGTCTTGCAGCATATGAACACTCAGAACATTTGAAGGGTTTGTCACCTGAGTGAGTTCTCATATGTCTAGTAAGATGACTTGCATGTTTTGCAGCATATGAACACTTAGAACACTTGAAAGGTTTTGCACCTGAGTGAGTTCTCATATGTACAGTAAGATGATCTGCTCGTCTTGCAGAATATGAACACTCAGAACACTTGAAGGGTTTCTCACCTGAGTGAGTTCTCATATGTACAGTAAGATCACCTGCATGTTTTGTAGCAAATGAACACTCAGAACACTTGAAGGGTTTCTCACTTGAGTGAGTTCTCATATGTCTAGTAAGATGACTTGAATATTTTGCAGCATATGAACACTCAGAACACTTGAAGGGTTTCTCACCTGAGTGAGTTCTCATATGTACAGTAAGATCACCGGTATGTTTTGTAGCAAATGAACACTCAGAACATTTTAAACGGTTCTCTACAGAGCTAGAGTGAATCTTTTGATGTTCTATAAGTGTTCTCGAATATGCTGCACTGAATGTACACTGTGAACACCTAAATGGTCTCACAGGCGGACTCTTACTAAGAGACAGAACTAATGTCCTCTGAGGATCAGTTCCAGTCAAGTTATCTGAAGTATCAAAGTAGTCAGGTACTTCTGGCCTGCTATGATCATGGTGCTGCTTTACATGTTCTATTAACAGACTCTCTGAGTAAACATGTTCAGCACAAACTGGACAGATAAAAATATATGGTTTATCTGATTCAGGTGTAAGTTCTTGTTTTATTGTACTATAATTTGAATTTGTTTTATGTTCTTTGATGTGCTCAACAAAGTAGTCTTCTGAAAAGTAATGTGCTCCACACATTGGGCACAGGAAACCGTTTGACTTTTCTGGGATCTCCACTTGTTCTGATTTGATCTCTTGTTTACAGTCTTTAGACATTCTGAGGTATTGGAATATAAGAGATATATAAAAGTACATTTATTTAAAATTCGATCGTGAAGGAATTTGGAATTGATAACGTGCCTTATCCAATGAAAATTACAAATATTTTCCCAGTTGAACCACCGGGACAGTATCCCAAAATGTATAATCTTATTTCATTAACTACAGTCTTTAATTTTACTTAAGCTCAATAGTTTATTATATTCGAAAGGAACGACCAAGCTAAAATAAAAGTTATAGTAGTACATAAAATTAAAACTTACTAATATTCACACCACGTAACCAAAGCACATCAATTATTAATAATGTAAATCACATTTAATTGTTTACTTAATAAAACAAAACTGTTTGTAATATGATATCATACTGAATAATATCAATAATAACTAATCCCCGAATTTACAAATTCAACAAAATAGTCCATACACGGTCAAAGATGGAATTAATATTTCACAGAAAGTGCTAAAAGTTGTTAAGATCTAAACAGTATCTGCAAGTAAGATATCAGATATAATGGGAAGATGATCAGAGGGGAATATAGCACTAGGACATCCCTCACTTTCCTCCAGATCAGACAGATTTGGAGATGGAGTCACGTGGCCAACCTGGAAATTAGAAAAAGGGTAAATTTGAAAGTAAAAATCACACAAATCAAAAATTACGATCTCTACTATATGCGACAAGATTAACGCCATCTTAGGCCGCGATGAAAGTGATGACTCCTCGGACTAATTTAAATATATTCCTTCTGTAACGTCCTCAATAAATTTATTTAATTGTAGTTCTAGTTGTGAAAATAGTTTTGATATAAAATCCAAACATTAGCTTCTATCTTTTTAAGACGAAAACAAGATAGTAAAGTGAGGATTTATTTGTAATCATTATGATCAAAATAGAGATTATTATAGCTTCTCCAACTAACCGTTGAATTTTCATCACACACGATATAATCTATAACGTCTTTAAAGTCAGCAGTATAGTTTGTGTAGTTTGGTTCACCCCGGGCCAGAGTAAGTTTTAAAGGATTCCGAACATTTTTATGCAAGAAGTTTTGCAATTCGTCCCCATTCTCGACCTGAATATAATATTATGTTGTGTTGTGAAAATTTGTACCTTTCTAACGTATGGAAATCGAAGTAACTGAAAATTGTTTCGAAGAAGTGCGCCACCTGAACACCCATTGCATAAGCAAAACAGTCTAACTTGTATTGCAAAACAAAACAAAACAATAAATAAAATACAAATAGTAGCTGAGAATAAGAATTGTTCAGATACCTGCGAGACCACTCCATCAGTGAGATAAGCATGAACTAAACTGGTTGTCTGAGAGTTCATATCACCACAAATAACCAAACTGACACCCTCCCCCTGCTTCTGATAAACCTTCCTAACAGCCTGGATCTTGCTACAGAGGGCATGTATGTGGAACAGTGCTATTATGTGGTATTTAGGATTCCAGTACAGATGTGTGTTGCCAACTATTACTAGTTTCTTGGATTCTTTGTTTTTTAAAACGACTATCTGTGACATGATCGATCTGATTGATATGTCTCTCCAGGTTTCTGGAAATTTGCTGTTCATTTGGTTACCTGGAGTTTCTAGTGTTAACTAATTTATCCAAATATTAACATTTAGAATTTCCAGTTTATACAACTAACCCGTCAATATATTAACGGTTTCCTTCTAATTTAACCACATCTGTGTCGGGCCGAATTCTACACAGCTTAGTCTGGTTACACTCGTGAAGCAATCAATCTAGACAGGTTGTGTGCATTATTATATGATATTACTTACTTTAAATTACGATGTCAAATGTATATTTAATAATCGTTGCATATTATCGATTAAAAATCTGTTTGAACTTACCAAGGTCGATCAAGTCCAACATTTGAGAGTTTTCTTGATACAAATCTGGTAAAGGGAAACTTTCATACTGGCACTGAAAAGTGAAGCACTTTTTAAAAAATCAATTACTCATACTCTGTTGAGGACTGAGAATGCAAAATTTGCTCATAAATAAACAGGAAACTAGTACAAATAGAGTACAATGCGAGGTAGAAACGATGAATTTAATCTAATGTAAAAAAATCTAAAAAAAGAGTAACTGGGTATTACAATCAGTATAATGTTCAGATTATAATATTATGTGCACTGCTATTTGCAACATAACTTACTTCTTCATACTGGTCAAGTTTAAAGAAAATAGCACAACCAGCTTTGAATCTTCCTTTTTTCACTGTAATGTGTCCCTGGTACGACTGCAACATTGGCACCAGATATTTGCTAAATGTTTTATCTTCAACCTGAGCAGTTTTACATTGGTTTCCTTGAAAGGTGGGCAGATATCAATTCAGAATTATTAGTTTCTTCTTTTAAATCATAACTTAACTGAATACAATTCAATACTGACCAGTGCAGTACTAACTTACTTCTTGCAAACAGAGCAGGTGAGGATTGTGAGCCCAAACTTCAGCCACAATTCTTGGCTCTCTGTATTCCCTGGCCTGGTACTTCTTTGAACAGTAAGGAAAATGGTTTGTGATTGGCTTTGTCTTAGATTCCATAAAAACATCTGCAAACTTAGAAATCATTAATTCTAGAATTTACAAGGCTGCTAAATGACTGTTCTTATGTAATGGCGGCCTGTTATGGACCACAGCTGTTTTTTATTTCTTTAAAAGTTACCCAAAAACACAGCTGGAATGTTTAAAAGTCACCATGCTTGTGAGAAATTTATTTCTTAATGGGTATTATATAATGTTACTCACCAGCCAAAATGTTGTAGGACATAAGTCTTGTATAACCATATTCTATTGGAACAGCTCTTGAGAGCAATATGTTGGTATCTTTATCGTCAATTACTGGACCAATAACATTAGAAAAAACTGTCTCTACTCCTGTAAAGAAATAGATGATTACAACATGGAAATGGAAATAAACTCATGCTCCACATGTGCATTGGCCATCAATTACCATAAGGAGACATTATAACCAATGTCTAGTAACAATGACAGAAATAAAGACTTACCCACAGCTTTACTCGAAAGTCGTATAACATTTCCGACCAGCTTTTGATACAGCAATAGCACCTCTGAAGTTGAGATTTGTTCCCATGAATCACTGTCTTTAGCTTTAGTCTCCCAAGTATAAGTGAGGTCATTTAAGGTCAAATCTATCAATTTGACTGTGGGGGAGATCGCCAGACCTGATAACATTAAATAATAAGACCAAAATCTACCAACCAATATAGTCTGTAGAAATTTAACTTGCCAAACAAAAAAGATTTGTAACCAACCTGCGACTGGTGTATTGGGAATCTTTAGAGATTCGATAGTAGGAGGATCAACCAAAATCTCATAAACAATGTCATTACAAACGAATTGGTTGGTTGGGATTAGAGCATCACACAACTCGACAGTTTTCTTAACAGTAGTTCCTCTACAATCAGTGAGAGCTACTGTTTTAACTTCAGTGGGTAATTTTGATTTTATCCTGTTGACAAATGCTTCCACAGTCTCATTTGATGATCGATCAAAGCGTTTTGTTTGATATGGCAGGTGAAGAAGTATACATAATCTATTCTTTGACAAGGTACGAACCACAAGACGGTTCATGATGTCATTTACAGTACATGTATCTGTAAAATTATTAAATTACCATTTTTAATAGTAAAATACAATGTTTGTGTACTGAAAAGTACCCTCACGGCTAACAGTAATATTTTTATGAAACAAAATAGGGTGAAAATAACTTGTACAACATACAAGAAAGATGTATATCCTGTCATCACTCCTGGAGTAATGGATATTATATGTTTATTTCAATAAATATAAGAAAGATAGGTATTTTGGCAATGTCCTCCTTAGCCATCAATCAAATATTTTTCAATATTGTATTCGATAAAGAATTAATGTTGGTGGGGCAATATTTATTATATATTTTTTTCACATTACATAGTACGATGATATTTAGTAGACAGATGGATGTGATGTCATAAATTTTACTTTACTTTACATTAC